GTATGAACCCAACACTAAGTAACTTTTCAACCTTCATAAAATATTTTCATAACTTTTGTGATTATACATGGGTTTACAACTAGTTGAAGGACACCTCTATCATGGCCTAGTGGATAAAAGCCTACAGCTTTTATCCACTAGGGGGAGACAAAATCAACCAAATTAGTAGCTAATGCTTTAAATTGGTAAGATTCCCAACTGGTTCCCAGCCAATTGAGGCTGCGACAGAAATTATGGACACAGTTTAGTGGCATGAACAACACACCTTTCAGACACCACAAAATATGCACCACTGCTACAAACTTGAAACTCTCAGCAAATGCATTGAGTGGGTAATGTTATTTGATATCTAGAAAAGCTAAGCAAAGGTAGTATAAAAGGGGAATTATTGTCTAAATACTTCCGTGAGTTAGTACTTGAGTCTTTGGAAGCACTAATAGACTGAGTTTAGAGCACTAAAGCTTTATTAGATGATTAGGCAAGCAAAAATAAAGTGAAATCGCAGCGAAGGTATGGACTGCCTTCTGACGCAGAGACTAACTGTAAACTTTACATCACTTATCCAAGTACACATGAAAAGTACCAACATCACATCATCAAAAGCAGTACGTATGCAATATATGTGAGAGGACTTGTTGTAACTAGTAATCGAGCAGGAACATAGCTTTGTTATAAAAAAACAAGCCCAACTTGGATAAAAAGGAAGAAACTGATTATTAAGGGTGTATATCACCACCTTTTTCATGATACAATGTTGGATTGGTTTGTTTGGTTGAAGATACCATTAATGTAAAGTTCTGTGTTTACATCTTGAAGGTTTCTCTCTACAGTTCTTTTTTTTTCTGAAAAGAGATCACTCGCCACAAACTCTTTAAATAACACTGCATTATAAATATGTATCAAATAACCAAGAGACATGACTACAGATTTTGATAGAAATTGTAATCTCACTCAGATCAGAGAAGTTGCTTAGAGTTACAGAAGGCAGCTGCTTACCAACAGGTCTAACTTCTCAGGAAGTGGCCCCAATAAACCGTGGAGCATTTTATACATCACCAGCCTGCCACATCATTACATCAATACATACAGGTTTGCATATAAAGAAACATCCATGGCTCCAGCCTTATCAAAATGTTACCCTTTGTTCTTAGCTCAAGGACGCCGCTCTCATTCCATTCCCAAAACTTTGCCACAGAATGATGATAACTGCAAATCCTGACAGAGGAACTGCCCTAATTAGATAAACTTCTGGGGGAAACTTTAGTTCTGAAACACAACAGGCAGATAATATTAGGGTGTAATAAACTCGGACATCATCAGGGATAATTATCCTAACAATACAATATTTGCTGATATCACATTTCTGTTGTAGTAGGATTTCCTTTCACTTCCTTTTACATGTCCATGTAAAATCATGTATACGGTGCGATAAAGTCTGCCCTGTCAACACGTTCATCTACATTTCAAAATAGGGCAATATAAGGAGATGTTTTCATTTTGCATTGAACTAATTGGATCGTTAATCAATTAATGTACTGATATGGATTGACATATTTTTACAAATAACTACATGACCAACCAATATGTTGAAATAATCATATTGGTGTACAGAGATGGGACTAACGGCGTTGAAAGTAACGGTGTTACTAACGCTGTTACCTTGTTTTAGTTTTTAAGTTTTTAGTTTTTAGTTTTTAAGATATAATCATTTTAATTTTTGGCTGATGACGTCACCATCCCCCCATCAAGCTTCGATTTGATCCAAAGTGTTTCGTTTGTGCTGATTTGTGCCGTTAAAACCAATTTGTGCTGCTTTACTTTTGATGGGGGGATGGTGACGTCATCAGCCAAAAATTAAAATGATTATATCTTAAAAA